CTCCAAGGGTCATGTTCAGAACTCCAAGAAAAACACCTTCAAAAAAAAGGTGCATTGTCCTGTTCCAGCACCTCCAACAGGTCACCAATTGAAACCTGTTAGGGCCTAACAAACCTCCAAAGGAGACCTGGTGCATTGTCCTGTTGGTTTTGAACGTTTCTTCGAGAGAACCGCAGGTCGGTGTCCTGGAAAGAGGCCTCCCAGCGGGCGCGGGCGCGGCGGACGAAGGCGCCCAAGGGCGACGGCTCCACGTCCAAGGCGGGGAACACGTGGAGTTTCATTGGCGTCTTCATTGGCTCCTGGCATCGCTACTAGAAACAAGAAAAATCTAGTAGCTTCTTGCTAGTAGCGATGGCCTCCAACCTAGTTGGAAGCGTTGGAAGCGCAAAAGACAGACCACGAGCAACACCAGGAGTTGATTCACTTGTCATGATGGATGTTTTTCTTTCTTTTGAATGGAGCCCTGTCAAGCTGACTGGGACCTCCGAGACGCGAAGGATGACGGGATTTGTGGTAAAAGTAACGATGCGAGTCGTCGTCCCAGTAGCGACACCGCAAAGACGACACCGATTCTCGAGGCGCTTCATGAATGTTCCGGTTACTAGTAGTAACAGGTGCCTTACTAGTAACAGGTGCCTTAATAGTAGCAACAAGAAGCTAGTAGTAACAAGTGCCACGCTTCTAGGAACAAGTGCCTTACTGTTCGAGGCGCTTCATGAATGTTCTTCATGGAACTATGGCAACGTCCCGGGCAACTGGTCCAAGTATGAGCTCGAGAGGCGACAGATCTTGTGAAGGGAACGAGTCCTTCTGTTGTGGTCTAGGAGTCTAGTTGATTCTAGTTGTCTTGCTTTGGGTTTTTCCCTCTCTTTTCCCTCATTGTCTTGCCTTCCCTTTCTTCTCAGGATCTTTGGATCGTATTGCGTTTCTTCCTTCTGTTTTTGATTGTATTTGCTGTCCATGTCGAATTTCTCCAAGCTCTCGGTTTAGGGCGGTGGAGAACGCCCGCATCGGCGTGCCGCGGGGCCCCTGTGCCGCGGATGAGCATGCCGGCCCGGGCGACCACACCCGAGGCTGAATGGATCGGGGATCAGGGCTTGGAGAGTCGCCAGGTGAAGCTGCAAGATCAACATCAACTTTGTTCACCCTAAGAGAATAAGCAACTGGGGAGCTATTAGTTGCTGATAGCAATCGCCTCCAACCTCATAACGTACAGTGTAGTGTTGTTCACCTTTTCAACATTTTGAGAGCTGTACGGAATGTGAATCACGTGCATAGGGCTCCAGAGTTGGTATGTGTCCGAACCATTTCAGCCAACATCGTTCATTTTTCTTGGCAGTGCTGCTGTTGCTACACATGGCTTGTGCCTGTCGCGCCAGCGTCTTCCTACGAACTGAACGGTGTTTTGGTGGTCGTGCCCGTTCCTGCGAGGTATCCGTGCGTCGGGCCCTGAGTGTCCGATGCGACGAAGGCAATGCTGGATCTTGCAACCTACTCCGATCGCT